ATCAAAATCAATGGTAGGTAAATTCTTCTGGACCTCTGAGAAAATTTGATCTATCTGTGGCTTAAGAATATTTACAGTAGAGGGAAAATGTTCCATTTTTTTGGCAAAATGAAATGAATTCAAATTGCTCCCAATCTTCTTGTCTTCATCACTTCCCTCATCACTGCTGTCCATATTTATATTTTTTAAAACTGGGGATAGGACAAAAAGCATTAAAATGATATGAATTATATTATAAAATGTTTTAGCAGATGAAGTTTACAAAAAGGGTACAAAAACTTACTGTTTATTTATTTCTTATTTAAAGAAAAAGAAAGATCTTAAAATAAATTGTGCTATCTGTTAGATCAGGCCTGCACAACTCAAATTGTAAGGCAGGCCATAATACTCTATGAAACACTTGTAATGGCTGAAAAAAAATAGGACAGTGTGGGGGGAAGCTATTAAGAATATAAAAATCAAAAAGAATATTTCGTTACTTCGCAGGCGCAAAGTGGGTGGCTATATGTCGTGCAGGCCTGTGTTGGATAATTTGTAAGTCATGAAAGTGTAGGTCTATACAGTAGTATACAACACTGAATTCTAAGATTGTTATTAAAATAAAAACTAAGTATAATGATCTGCTGACTGAGTAAATTAAGTTGAAATACACAAGTGCCTTATACTTATAATTAATAAAACTTTAATGTCTACTTTGTGATCATTGTTATTTCATTTGTACAAGTTTTGATTAATTAGATAAACTCATAAAATTTGTATCCAAACCTATCTTGGCACTTGCAATTAAATGTAACTGATGAATATATACCAATCATTCAAATTCAGTTATTAATAATTATACTTGTTACAATGAAGAAACAATTCAATATAAACAATAAAATGAATTAATCTAGTACTAGTAGTACTGGTAGTAGTAGACACTAGAGTAGAGTTATAATACTTATATTTATATATAATGATAATATTATATTATAATATATAATTTAATTTAAAATAATAATATTTCTGACTAGAATTACTAAAAAGTAAGTAGTAGTAGGCTGTAGCATAGCAGAACAGTGTGAGTAAGTCAGTAATCAGTAAATGCTAAGTAAGTAGTAAGTTGGTAGGCCTAGCCTACTCATCTCATCAGTAGTTCTGGTTGTATTTTTAAAAAAAAAGTATTTATATTAATTAGTCTTTAGTCTAATTTAACTAATTAGTGTAATATTAGTCTAGTCACACTCACTACACTGTGCTGGGTTATTAATTATTATTATTACTATGCTATACCTTATACAGATACTAATTAATACTGAGTAACACTTAAACTTAAACTTAAATTAAAGTTAAATAAGTTTTACTCAGTGTTAATAGCCACTTGGTTAATGTATTGTTAGTATAGTAGTAGTTAGTAGTGGTTTTAGTAGTCACTAATACTAACACTGGCACAGAATATTTGGAATAATAATTAATTATAAGTAAGTAAGTGCCGTGCCATAAGTAAGGAAATTTATTGTCAATTCAGTCTATTGTAATAGTAATTAGTAATAGTTAATAGTAATACTAGTAGTATTAGTATTAAGTATTAAGTATTAGTAATTGAGTAATTGCCACTAATTTACTATTTTGGAATTAAAGTTAATGAACAATTTCAATAATTCCTCGCTGTTACTGGTCATTCATTTGTACATCACCGGCATGATATAATTATCTCTATAGAGTTAAATTGTAAATCAAATTTTGGAGTAGTGAATATCGTAATGCCAATTCACGGTAAAAGTGAGATATGATTCCACTTTTGAAGAAACCAAGTTTATTTCCATGGTAATTAGGACAACAATATCCTAGCCTAAACATCACCCTCTAGTCTAATTAAAATATTTGGAACATTTATATGGCTGAATCATAGTTTAATAAGTAATAAGACAATTACAATAATAAGAATATTATTATTTGAAAAATTCGAAGTTACATACTCGTACTAAGGTCCTTTCTTTTTGTTGTTTTTCTTGAGAATGTCCCAGACAAGAATTAAAATTAAAGTTAAAGAATTTTCATGCCGTAACACATTCTCGCGAGACATGCCTCTAGATTCTTAAAATTAATAATCTAATTTTATTATTCGAAACAAAATATAATGTAGTTTATTTCAAAGCTATTTTTTTTATTATTATTTAAAAAAAAACAAAAACAAAAAAAAAACAAGCCACATTTACTGTAAAAATAAATTAGACTTCCTTTTAGAGTTAAGATTTATAATACACAGACTGTGGCGAAGCGAGGACAAATGGCGCCCACAGCAAAAACTACACCCAGTAGATCTGCCAGCCGAATTTTTTTTTTAATTTTGGGCTGGCTGACATAATTTTTTGGCTGATATCCGGATTAGCCGGATTTCTCCGTAAATTGACATTTGCGGCTGATTTTCGACTGATTACGAAATATTCGGCTGAAATCCGGCTGAAGCCTGGCCAATAATGAAGTAATAAAACTTCAGCAATAAAACACTTTTACAATACTTCAGAAAAAGTTTTATTATCTCAAACAATAGAAAAAAAACCAACAGTTTTATATGCTGTCCTACTAATACAGTGCATGAATGCATTCCATTCATTCAGTTTCTGTCACTCAATAGCTGATATGCACTTAAAATATCAGTTTGTAATTGTCATGAATAAAACAAATTTAAGAAAGCATACACATTACGTTACGGCGACTCGTTCATTTTTCGGCGGATTTACAGCGGACGAAATACGGCGGCTAATGCGGCGCGCCGCATATTTTCCGACGGATTTTTGGAGGACGAAAATTCTGCGGCGTATTCGGCGCGCGGTGTTGGCTGAGGGGTCTAACACCCAGGCCCAAGGGGCCGTCCATAAAGTACGTCACTCCAGACGGGGGAGGGGTGTAAGAAAGTGTGACAGTTTGTGACAGGGGGAGGGGGTCAGGCCATGTGTGACGTCACACATTTATTTATTTTTAAAAAAAATTTTTTTTCTAATTTATTTTTTAGTGGAAATTAATAGTTTTAAAAATAATGTTCCAAAATTTTGTGTATCATTTGAATTACTTTTATGTCAAAATAGCATGAAATGCGTATGTCCTGAATGAGTTGTTCGCGATTCCTCTCGCTAGGAGCGCTAGTATGCTGTTTCGAAGCCTTGTTTTATGAAAAATGTATGTATAGCCTTGCTTTCGTCTTTCCTGAAGTATTATTATTTCTATGTTGTCCGCTTCATAATTATGTCACTGTCCCTTTTATTATTTAATCATTTGGCGAGGTCAAGTTTCTCTAATATACTTCTTAACCTGTATAAAAGATTGCATAATCGGAAGATTATCTAAAACTTGACCTCGCCTATTGTAAATGAAAAAGCAGCAGATAAATAATGTGTATTATATAATTTTCTAGTCTAATTTTTGCAATTTTTGTTTTCAAATTCAATCTAGATTGAGTTACTGCTTCAATGAATAACTGTGGCTACTGTCGACAATTAACTTTCTTCTATTAAAGTCATATTAATAATGTGATAATAGAAATTAAGTGGAAGTTTTATTTTTTATTACAGTTTAATAGTGAAGTGTGTTTTAGATTAAATTTTAATTAGGTGTTAATTAAAAAAAAATCTGTTCGAAAGTGTGACGTACTTTAGAAAGGGGGGGGGGGGGGGGGGGGGTGTCGAGATTTGTGACAGTTATTGACAGGGGGAGGAGGGGGTTAAAAATGGTCAAAAATAGCGTGACGTACTTTATGGACGGCCCCCAGGTGAGTTAACTAGGGTTAGTGGTAGCGCCACCCCCGGAGTGAACGAGTTTTTTTGTCACCTCCTTTTACGAGGAAAATATTGCAGCAGGTGGAAAATACCGTACCCCAAATTGCTCGATGCCTCAGTATAAAGAAAAAATTGTCACCCGAGGTGGACTGTCCCCTCCCCAACCCCATCATACGCCACTGCCTAACTGTGCCCATGCCCACGCAAGCTTGTGAACCTTAGTGTTTTCAGTGCTTAATTTTTTTTCATAACATTTATAATTACGATGTTAGTGTTAGGGCGCTGTCTCTGTTTGATTTGTATTATGTTTTTATTTATTTATTAATTTGTTTAATTAAATTTTTTGTTTTGTTTTTTGTTTCGGTGAGTGATGAGTGACAAACCCAAATAACATTTTTAAACATCCCACAATTAAAAATGCTGTGCAAATAAACCTGAATTTTTTAGTGAGTTTGCATTGGTGGGGGGGGGGGGGGGGGGATCTGCCATCACCCTCTGAACTAACACACATTTTCTTCTGATTTTCTCCCACACACAAAACAAGTACTCACACTCACACCATTAGGTAAATTCGGTTAGTTAATTATTATATAGGCCTAATTATGCAGTGTTTTATTTTTATTTTACACCCCACCTTTTAGGAAAAAACAAAACAAAAAACAACGAAATATAATAACAAACAATGCAGAATAATCATTATAATATTATGACGTATCCCCATTTTGTGTACTCCGTAACTGCGGTGACAATCGCGCGTTTCCGTTTCCTCCGTTGAGAAAATGTCCGATTCCTATTGGCTACCGAAACCTGCCGAAAAAAATATTTTATAATACTGTAAACGCTTTGTAATATTGTATTTTTTATATTTGAAATTGAAAGCTAATATGTAAATAGAGACATAACTATGTTCAATTTATTTAAAAAGTAAATATGATGAATTAATTGCATTAATAGTGAAAATGGAAACTCTATAGGCCTATCATTTTTGCATTATAATTCTTGTGGTTAAGACTAAGATTTGGCATTGGCATGGTTATAAATAGCTTCTTTCAAAATAATTAAAATGACATAGTTTATCACAATCATTGTTATTTTTTAAACAACTCTGCGTTTTAAAAACATAATTTTAATAGGAAAGTTACCAGTTATTCACAGTGAAACATTAAAAAACATTTTTCTTAGTAATGTCGAAATCCTCTTAATGATTAAGAAGTAGGAGTTCTACTGTATCCATCCGCGTCAGAGCCCAGAACGGAACTGCTTGTTCGGCCATTAGAAACAGTACTGAATGGCAAACAAAACTGGAGATTATTATGTTTTAGTGTATTTATTACTTTTGACAGGATCCCCTGATCTGAGATAAAACATTCGTTTTAATATTGAGACTTAATGTTACCGGCAATGTCATAGATAGGTGGTGTAGAAAGGAATTTCGTTGTTCAATTCACAAAATTGTTCTGCTCATGAATGAAATGTGAGAAAACCCGTTGGACTATCGAAGGCAGAGAGATCAGGCTTCGCTTCGTGTTGGACCAACCTGTACTATGAGTGGTCGACCAAGGACAACATCATTTGCTGAAGGTGGAAAATCAGGCCAAAACGCAACATTTGGAGGGATGAGAACCACCAGTAAGTGCTGACTTTTTATGTCAGCCATGCTGTTGAGACAATCAAAATGGCGGTCTATCACTATCGACTCATTCCCCCACTTTATTTGACTTTATACTAGTACTAGTCATTAGGACTCGGGCACAACTCTTGGGTTATAATATAGTAAAGACCTGTACCATCCTTTTCATTTAAAATATAACCTGACTCATTTTTCATTTCCCCCAAAATTTAATGATATTCTAATTAAAACAAGAAGTGTACTTCCAGGTTACCACCACCACAATTCTCTGAATTGTTAAGATTTTGTAACAAGCCCCTTTTACCTACTAAATACGTCTTAACATAATTGCTATGAACAGGCCTTAATTAGTAAATACCATCAGTTTTCAATCGATACTACAAATTTCACTGACTTCTGGAGTTAGTCAGTTACCGGTACTAAGTTAAGTTAGACTTTACTTTCAGGTAATTTTTAGGCTACAAATAGCTTATTACTATAATTTAATAATATTAGGTTAGGTCTCAACTTAAACTTAACTGAAGTTCAGAGTCTTCATTTAATTGGGCATATGGCATTAGGATTAAGCTATTATTCTTAGGTAGGGGTTGATTTTGGGTTAGGGGTAAGGTCGGCAATGTGTTCCACGGTATATTATATATAGGTCACAGAGGTTCCCCCAGATCCACTTCTGTCCACAGCTTCGCTCTAAAAAGATTTAGATGTTTGTATTCACATAATGCGAGTTATTGTATTTTTATTTTATATCTTTGAAATTTGGGAGGGGTCACCTCCCCAGAGGATTTCTTTGTTTCTTATTTTGATATTTAAAGTCCAGTTGCTAGAGGATAATTCCAAATGCAATTTAAGCAGTAGTCTCCCCTTCGCTACCAAAGCTTTAACTTACAGGTATTTTGATTTTCAACCAATCAAAATACAGCACTTTTGGCATGCATATTTTTTTTTCACAGTTGTTGGGTCTATGGGTATCAGTAAGGATGTAGGATGTAATTCTTGTTCTTAAATTAGGACTAGAGCTTAATTTTTAATATCTCATAAATAAAGGCAGTGTCCGCGCCGAGCGTATATCTCCCGCACTATTTGTCCGGCAACCAAGTCACATGACCGCCGGAAGACTACTTTATCGAGATATTCGTCCCGCGACCAGGTCACATGACCGCCGTAACAAAGTGGCGAGAGATATTTTGTCCATCAGCCTTATCACGTGACCGCGAATGATTCAAAACTATTGTTAATTTTAAAATCTATTTCTCTACCAAGTAATGTACATCTTGCATGCAAATAATAGAAAAAAACTTAAGTCTTAAGTGAAAGTGGCTTGTAAACATTTTTGTTTAGTTTGTTATTTGAGTTTGTGTACCAGTAATCCATAACATAAATAGCTACAAAATATTCCTCATGAAACTACTGTTGCTGAAGAACATGATAATTTAAATATAGTATAAAATATTTGTAATTAAAACGGGAAGAAAAAAAACAATCCTATCCTCGGTATTGATCCTCAAATCATAATATGGTCAAGCGACCACTCTACCAGTAGACCACACAAGATCTACTAAATTGCATTTCGTTCGGAATTATATAAACTACTAGCCGTCCGGCGGTCACGTGACATGCCGCCGGACGTATATCTTGCGCACTATTTGCACGTGTAGACACTTCGATAAATAAATAAATGTTTGGCCAAACTAGGGTAGGCCTACATGAAACATGTAGTTCTTTTCAAAATAACATAATAAATTAAGACTCTAGATTAAAACATTCTCTCCCCAATCATGATAAATTACAGGCACAGAGTAAATGCTTACTGATAGTTTTCAGTGACCATTTAGTTTTCAGTGACCATTTACCTTATTCACCCCATTTATCTTTTACACTTGCTTAATTATCCAACAATGAGTTAAAAAATACCTCTTAAATTAGGCTTATTATATGTTAGGTTATATTTTTTCAGGCTTGTAGTGAAACTCCAATTTATTTTCAATTATTTTAGGCTTAGTTCAATTGATTTTTAAATTTTAAAGTTCGTCCATAGGGCCCAGCCTTAACTATTATTTAGTTTATGTGGTATGATTCTTTGTAACACCATTTTCAAAATGAATTGAACGCCTTATTGAATTGCTTAGCCTATAGAAACATTAAATTGAGCATCTCAATCCATCATTACATATCTAGTGTGTAGGCCCTAATGCAACATGTAAGTTTGAATAAGTCACATTTGAACATTGTCTTCTTTTTTTAATAGGATCTGCCTTGACATATTTAAAACAGAATAAAAAAAATATGGAAAAAGAATTAGGTCTATTAATGTCTACATTTATTTGAGTAGGTCTAGTCTTGTATGATGCGCTCTTTAAAACTACTTATAGGCTTATGAATAGATAGGGCTTTAAACACAAAAGTTACCTAAGGCCTATTCATTCTTAGTTAAAAATAACTTATTTCTTACACTAGTTTAAGTTAGGAAAACAATGTAAAATAGCAATTAGGTCTAATACATATTTTTAAGGTTTTAATCAACAATCATAAATTTTAATAAAGTGTCTGTAATGAACTATCATGAATTATAAAATCTGAGAACGTCCTGTATAGGCTTATTACAACAATTATTAAGGCCTCATAAATTATTATAAATGTGCTGCACATTGAAATCAATAAATTATTTCTTAAGAGTAAATAAAATATTAAGTTTGCCTACAAACAAGATTTAGGCCTATATTATAGGCCTATAAAAATATGCTTAATTAATGACATGGACATGTGACTTACGAGGAGTTAACTCACAATCTAAATTGCCAGGAAGCCATTTTGGGTTGACCTGCCTTACAAGATAAAAATTCGAACATCATTTTACCACTCAGTAATTTAGTTTACATTTTAGAACCTTGCTTTTGTTGACCAGTATTGGTATCCCTTAAAATAACACAAATTAATCATCCATTGGCCTAACTCTGAAATTAAAACTTTACATTAGACATGCTAAAAATGCGCAGTTATTTTTATAATGAATCAGTATTATGACTAAAGTTAAAGGAAGACTGGTCTTGAGGATCCATTTTGCTAATTTTGTTTTTTTCATAAAATATTGCAAGTGTTTTGTTTTTTAAGCTTGAACATAAACATCAACATAAGCAGTAGGTCTACATTGTTTTATACAGCACAGATTATTGAATGTGTTGTCATAATGTTGAATGTAGGGGGCTGAGCATTATGTCAAACTAATTAGCTTTTGATTTTCCAAGTCAACATTACATTTTTATTTACCAAAATTATTTTTTTTTAAACTGTAATCTGTCAACTAGGTATTCTGTCATGCCCTGTTTCAGTTAGACTTTACTGCATTTTTATACATCACTTTAAAGTTGTGGGGATGTGGAATCATATCAATCTACTGATTGGTGAAAGTTAGAGACCCCCTGCTTTTCCTTATTGGTTGTGTGTATGTAAATTATAATTATTATTTAAACAGTGCAGTATTTGAATTGTTGAATTTCGGTGGGTTATATATATGACGGAGAAGAAAGCTTTTTTTTCAAAATGGTTACCTTGATACTAATTCTGGTTAGTGCTGATTGTGTTAAGTAATGATCTCTTCTTTAAGGGTTACTTTCTGGTAACTCTTATATACCACAATTAGCAAAGACAATTAAAACCAGACCTGTTTACTCTTATGATTTTGGCATATAGTGTACGTTTTTTAGAGGTCTTTTACGATTGTACATGCAACCTTTCAGACCCTATGAGATCTGATGAAAAAATATATTACATTTTTTTTTTCACGACTTGAAAAAAAACCCAACTTTTTTGTTGTTCGCTTTAACTCCTTTTTACACCTAGCAGTTAATGGACAGAAATACAATTGGCTGGGGACTATCCTTAATTGTTAATGTACACACTAGGGGTGTGCCGGAATCCGGTCCGGAATCCGGTTCCACCGGATTTTGCACTATCCGGTGAAATCCGGTTCCGCCGGATTTACATGTATCCGAAACAACCGGATTCCGGAATATACCGGATTTCGGAATTTGCCAGATTTTGTGACTCACCGGATCATAATCTGAAATAAAAGTAATTCTCTTTCCAGTATTCCACACGATCACGATACATTAATCGATTGTTTCTAGCGTTGAGCTTGTTTAATGTTTAATATTCCGTACATACCAGAGGCTAGAGTCAGCACCGCTAATAGTGGCCAATAGTGTAGGGACTTTGATAAGAAAATTTAAACTTTTTGTAAAAATAAACCAATGGCATAGTTGAAAAGATGTAATTTTTTAAAGAATTATAACACCAAAATCATATTTTTAGCTGTTGTAGTTTTAAAGTTATGAATTTTTAAAGTACGACTTGGTTTGTCATTTTTTAACATGGACTGCATCTCCACATTCTGTGATCTCATTCCGCCAATCCCGTCATGCGCAATGACTATATAGTTTATATAAGGCAACGCATTCCCTGCCTTATCACTAAAATACTGTTTAGACTTAGTTTAAACTTTCAACTTTGGCACATGAATAATTAATTAAAGCTTTCCCTGACCAATGGTTTAATAGTTTTTGCACACGGCAAACTCTTATGAATGAAACTCTGAGGTAGTACTACGATACAGTTATGCAAGTGGCTGTGAATGGTTGCCAATGACAACGTGTTGCACACGGTAAATTCTGATCATTTATAATATGGATTCTACCGGGTTGTTAAAGCTCAAATTAAAACATTCCAGTTTAAATGTCTTTAAATGCATTCTGAAACACAAGTTATCAATTATTTTGATGTAAATAGTGATAATATATTAATATTTCCTAAGTATCGTCAACTTCCGCCATTAAAAAGGGGGGCGTGGCCAACCCCATGGCGAAATTAGGTTGAGCGAGCTGCATGACCTGCTGCGAACGCGTAGAAACATGGCGTCTCTCGAAAGACACTTATCCAAATGGAACGGAACTCAAATATATATCGAAAGTACTAATTTAATAATAAATAGACACACACATCGGAAAATTAAAAACTCGGATTTTTTGGCGCCGATTGCGAATTCCCATACACAGAAAGTAGTAGTCCACCTTGACTTACCGAAGTATCTACCAATAGTACCGGAATCCGGATTATTCCGGAATCCGGATCCGGCGGATTTCGCATAAGAAAATCCGGATCCGGTTGGAAAAAACGGATCCGGCACACCCCTAGTACACACTGAGAGGGGGAAAAAGGTGGTGTTGACTTGGATGTGTATTTTTAAAGGCTATAAAGTAACACAACCGCGTTTCATAATGATAGTCATAGTGTTGCTTTGTTTTCACAATGAACTCGCAAGATACAGCAGCATTAATTAATATTTAGCATATTTGCCATAGTGAAAAATTTAGTGAACATTCGCCTATTTTTGCTTTGGTGCTGTATGGTGTTATTTTGCGACATAACCTAATTATTTAGTTCTTGGCTGAGTGGTAGCAATTGAGAAAAAAAATACAGTTTTTTTTTAAAAATGCATGCTCAACCACAGCAACGTTAGATTTGGACATATTTTATAAGATATAGTATGCTGCATTTGAAATCTATTTTCAAAAGTCACTAAGCAGCTATACAATTTTAATACACCTCTTCCCTTCTCCCAATGCAGCTTGCAGTAGTTATTAGACTACAAAAAAAATAACGGAAAATAAAATCAGGCTCCTAGGCTTAATACATGGGTGAGTTTTTTTTTACCCAACTCTTTTAGTAAAAATAAGTAATCTACATACGAATGTGAACTTCTTTGTGCTCATAGCTAGAATCTATATATGGTAATATAAAGCACTGGTCAGTTCAGCAAGGCAGCTAGTCTTAGAAAGAAGGTAGAAGAGTAACAAAAATTTGTACCACTAAAAACAACAGTCACCTTGGTCAGCGACTAAAAGTAACATTCTTTCCCTATCCTAACACATCCAATAATCCTAATAATAAACATAGATGAAAATGATAAATATGTATTTTCTATTCCTTCAAAGTGAACATCTTAATAACACGCTTATGATTATTTTTCTTCATGAACTTAACAATGATTAAGATGGTAAAGTAGACCTGTCGAAAATTAGTCCATATTTTCACTATGTGGGAGTAAATTTATTCCGGTATCTGAGATTTGATATTGTTAAGGGTGTGAAACTAGACACTAAGATTTGAAATTTATTTTAACATTATTCAGAATATGGTCAGGTGTGCCATTGATTTCTCTACATTCACATTTTTTCTTGAAATAAGTCATCAGTTGATGATAATTTTAAAAAATTGAATTAGATGAGGCTTTTTCTTTCTGAAAACTCAATTAAGCATCTAAACAACATCAAAAGTGTTCATTTTAAAATGTCTATTATTGTTCAGGTTTTATGCAGTTGTCCAAATGTTCTGTCCTGTTCAAATGGATTTTTCAAGTTACTTAGTGATATATTTATTAGTCCCTTCATGAATATGTAATACATTTAATAGTAAAGAGTTTCTGACTCCAAATTTACAATTCCGCTACACTTTTAAAATTGCGAAGCAAATAAAGAGTTAGTGGATGCAACAAAACACCTAATAATTATTCCTTTTGAAGGATGAACAGGTTTTTTTTAACATTAAAAACTATTAATTGAGACTTTACATTTTATTGTTTACTTTATTGTAAATAGCGGTCAATCAGTCCTGTTATCATAAAATGGGGGTTTACAAAAGACTCCATCTGGTGGTGACCCACTGGCCCTACTCCCTTATCTTCTTCTTAATCACCTTTGTTAGTAGTAGGGGTAATATCTAGACTTCATTTATTTTAATCAAAGCAGAGTCAAAAAATCACCGCTTGGATTGTCTCAAATGAGGTTCTCATTTTTCAAATATTTACATGTTTTTTTACCCTTATTTCGATTTTGCTTTTTCTCTCCTGGTGTTAGTTTTCACGTTTTATTTTTGTTATTTCATTTCTAACCAGTGAAATGCATTTTTATTCCTAGTGTATTATCTTTATTTATGTAGCTATTCTATAATTTAATGTTTTATGTTTAGTTTTTAATACAGTACACAAATAATTTAGTTAGCAAAAACTTAAGTGAAATAAACGTGGAAGTGGTTAATATTAGAGAGCTAGTTTTCAGTTTTTGTGTAAATAAATAAACTTTTAATCTACCAGTGCTGTCTTTACCCAGCCGCTTGTCTGCTTATTAACCGTAAAGTGTTTGTTATTTTAATTTTGCTTAAATTGGATATCATTTTGTTCCTAATCTGTCCTTAGCTTTTCTTCGTTTTGCTTAGTTTGAAAATAATATGAGAATGTTAGTCATTTCAACACATAGCCCATTGGCGAAAAGTAATTTGAGAAATAGATAACACATTTTCGCAATATTAGAATATTCATTATATTACAGAAAAGACAAATTTAAAAAAAAATTGTTAGACATTTATTTATGTAATGGGTTATTTGCTGTGATCCTATATAATAAATATTGTAATCTTAATTAGCCTGGAGGATTAAAATTAAGGTCTTTACTAGGGATGTTATATATAGTTTAAATATATTGTCATATTTTTTTTGACTGATTGTTGTAAAAATCCAATTTTAAACTGATAATCCTTTTATTCACCTTTATAGTGATATTTCTTATAATTCAAGTAACTGTAAGCTTATTTCTTAGCTTGTAAGCTGGATTAATCACAAATTAATTTTTAAAAAATTGACAGTTAATCTATTTTAAGAGATGGAATCTATTTTAAGAGATGGAATCTATTTTAAGAGATGACTCTGTGGTTTTTAAAAAGTGTCATTGAAATGTAAAAACCTTTAATCTATTAATAATTTCATGATTTTCAACACAGAAATGATGGCAAAGAAAATCAATATTTTGTAATGAAAAAAACAACACAAACAACTGATAGTCATGGTCATAACTGATATTTGGATTTATCAATATCAGTATTATTTAAAACTGCATTAATTATTTTAAAACATCATACATACAAATAAATTAAACATCTGTTAAAAGGATGTCAAAATGACTTATCTTAATCTATTTGGGTTTATCAGTTATCTATATCTTCTCATTACGAAAATTTTAATTTGAAAAGACTATTTTATTTATTGATATATTAAAATTTTAATTTGAAACCATTTTATTTTTTGGTGTGATCTTAAAATACCTTTATAAAAATTTGTATTATGTGACTTTAAAATAATTTTAACCACAGTCCTTTAATTCATGTGTGCAGCTTTAGTTGTTAACCACTTACATATATTATTTTGAATAAAACTGACTAATACTGCTGTTAATTTCAATTTTAAGATATTAGTTATATCAAGTATACACTTTTAAATTTTTCAAACTAAACAATTTTGGATTCATTTATTTAAACTAAATAAGCTGACAGAATATACAAATTCATGAACATTTTGTCTTCTCTATTACACTAAAAAGGTTCTTTAATTATTAATTATGTCATTCATACCTGTACATAAAATAAATATTAAGAGAAGTAATTTATAATTAGTCTATAATCCAGTTTTAAAAAAAAGTAGAGTGCAATTTTATTAAGATGATCAACATTAAATAAAATAAAATACTTACAGGCAAAGATGGAAACAAAGTCACAACGGTCCTGGCCACTGCTGGCCAGGGGTCCGATCGACCCCAGGAGGTCAGCTACATAGATGCCAAGGTCATTGGAAATGGTTCATTTGGTGTTGTTTACCAGGCAAAGTTGGTAGATACTGGTGAACTTGTTGCCATTAAAAAGGTTTTACAAGACAAAAGGTTCAAAGTAAGTTATGCTTCCTCAGTTTTGAATTTTTGAAAGCATTCTTTGAAATAAATTATATCTTTAACACATTTTGGTTATAATATCATATATGGATCTTGTTGTAAGGTAGCCAATAACTTTTACATCTTTAACAATGAAATGTTACATAACTTTTCAGAATCGAGAACTCCAGATTATGCGCAAACTAGAGCATCAAAATATAGTCAAGCTTAAGTATTTCTTTTACTCATCTGGTGAAAAGGTGGGTGAGAAAGTTGTTATATATTAGCTGGATAACTTAATCACATCTAGAATTTGTCACAGGGGAAATATTTATATCAATCCTTAGTGTGAGGGATATTTTTTATAAATGGCCAATCATGATGTTATATTTTGTCAGTTCATTCTTCATTTGTTTTTACATCATAGGCCTCGTGGGTCAATTTTTATATTTTTATATATGCTGTACACCAATCTAGTACTGTTGATGCTGTGAGCATGTCCTTGACAGTGCTACATAGGTGGTGAGTTTGATTAAATGACCAGATAGACTTCAGCATCTGATCTAAAAGCCAGTTTGCTATTTACAGAAAGATGAAGTCTTCTTAAACTTGGTGTTAGAGTATGTACCTGAAACTGTATATCGTGTAGCTCGACATTACAGTAAAACCAAACAGACTATACCTGTATTATACATCAAGGTTAGTCATCAACTTTGTACTTTTAAGTGAGTTTTAAAAAAATGCAATGATCTCTTTTTTAATAGTAGTTTTAAAAGAAAAGTGTTCCACAGCGTTACATAGAAACATTGGTTGTCCAAAAATAAAATGGCACTTATTTGTCCAAGGCAGGATTGCATCTTAATTAGGAAGTAGTGTTGGGTGACCTAATGCTGTTTTTAAAAAAAAGAAAAAAATATCCTTAGAAGTGTAAAATAAAAAAATAAACCAACCATTTAAAATATTTAAAAATTTATTATATTTAATTTATAACCCAATTTTATCCTTGTTGATAATTTGAAATATGGCCTTTCACAGTTTAGATGGAATTCGAATGGATATTTAAAAAAAAAAATCTTTCCTCCCATTGATAGGCAAGGGAACAACAGGGTAGACATTTTCACCGGTTACTGAATCTTTTAAGAAGTACCATTTACTAAATCTGGTATGAATCCGAGTCATTTGTATATTATTCATAATGAAACTTAAAGTATATTGCTGCGTTCCACATATAATTACATGTCTGCGTATAATAAATAATGCGAACTGTTGATCTAATAATAATTTACAAATGAATGAAATAAATATTTTTTATATATATATATATAAACGACAAAAATCCTTTAAATTATATATAAAATAAAATAATATTTAAAATGAACTGCGGTCATACCAATACAACAATGATAATATTTCTTCAAAAGGTGCTACTAACATTACTGGTGTTATCCACAGATACTATGTGCCCTTGATCGCCGAATGGTTGCATAGACATTAGTAGACATATAATAATGTATCGTTTGTTTACCAGAAATGACAAACACTTTATTGACCCATAGGGCATAGAGTAAAAAAAAACAAACTTCTATCCACATGGCAATATGGTAATTTATAAGTTTATAAGACATATGACAGTAAACTCACTAACTTTGTGAAGTCGGCTGATATTAACTTTACTTTGTTAATTTAAATACAGGAATCAATATTGCTAATACTACAGCTAGCATAATTAACTGATCAATTATCTATAGTTAGATCTAAATTACTATCAAATTCATCGTCTGAATCCATTTTTTTTTTTTATTACTATTGATAGGTTAAAAAAAAAAACTCAAAATTTTATTAAAATATATAAAAGATGTGATTTATCCATTTTGGAAGGATGTAAACAGGTTAGAATGTGTGCGCAGCAAATTTTATATCCTGTGCAAATAAAGTTAGTGTTAGCAAATTTTTTTTTTCTTTCTGGGTTTTGGTGGGAAATGAACATCCGATCCACCCATTTTAATAAGCAAATTTATTGAATATCTCTATAAAATTTAATTGTGAAATAAATATTTCGATCCACATCAGTATTAACAGTATTATTTGCCGATGCGAAGACTTGAATATCCTGTTGTTCCCTAATGTAGGCTCCTATGAGCATTTAGAACAAATGTATATCAACTGTAATGGTTCCCATTTATTAAAAAAAAACTATATTGAATTTCTCAATCACAGCTCTACATGTACCAGTTGTTCCGTAGTCTAGCTTACATCCACTCTCAGGGTGTGTGTCATCGAGACATCAAACCTCAAAATTTGCTGCTAGACCCTGAGACAGGGGTGCTCAAACTCTGTGATTTTGGAAGGTTAGTTTTTAAAATTGTACAATGACTAGTACCCCCACTTGACTTTGAACAAGTCTTTAGTTACGAATGCCAGTCAGTGAATTTAAAAATTTGAACCTGTGATTCCACTTAATAGATATGTGTGTTACAAATCCATACCGTGTCAGACGATATTTTGGTCTCCCATACCTTACCCTAGGTTAACAGTCCCTTTAAAGAAAATGTTTTAAATTTCGAAGTTAAACCTTACCATGTGACTTACAAAAGGTCACAGCATTGTTTTTGTTATATATTAGCAATGTTTTTTATGAAGAAAAAGCAAAGTTTGCTATTCTAAAGGACTGAAAACCAGAGCAGATTGATTATAATGTAAATGATTCAAAGGATCATCAAGTAATTAACTAACAGAGATTAGAAAAGCAAATAGATATTGATAGTGACGATCAATGGACTTCAACCTTTCTAGTCATTGAATGTGTGCTTTGGGAAACAAAAGGTCTATTCCAAGTCCTGGGTTTTATGAAAATTGGGAGCCTGAAAATGACAGTCTACTATGCTATTCTACACTCATTTGTTGCCAATTTTATCCCTGTGATATATTTTATAATAGTAATGGACTACTAATAGAAAAATTTAGATTGAAATAAATTTATATAATTTTATGATAATGGAGTGTTTTCTCATGGTGTCGTAAATTTTCCCCCAGCGCATAGGGCATGAGTAGTTTAGGACCAGGAGCCAAGGGTTTAAGAGTTAAATGATTAATATTCATGTACAATTTAATGTAGAGTGAAAGCATATGTCATTTACATCTATAAATTATTGGTTCTTTTTGTAAAAGTGAATATATATATACAAAATTAATCTAAATTAAACTAATATGTAATGCTTTTGTATACTTGCATATGACATGAAAAGAATTTATTGACATTAATAGTTATATAACAATTAAACTTGTATGGCATGATATATTTAAAGCAATATTGGAACAAGTGGAGGTGTGATAGAATAGTTGTTTTGTTTTTGCTTACATTTATAGCACTGCGGTTACTCTTTAAACACAGGATTCTGAATTAGTGAAAATTATTTTTACTATTATTATTCTAGATTCCTCTTTAAATATATGAAACAATTTTTTATTTATTGGAAATATATTTTAGAGATTAGGATCTTTCTAGAATTTCTGGGGTTAACATAAAAATGTAATTAAAAGAAAAAGTAATTTTAATCGCTTATAATTTATGTGACATATGCCATTACGCTTTATCTTTTTAATGAAACACAGGTAATGGACATATAAGGAAAATATAATTATATAATGTAATACATTACATGTTTTCAGTAAATTTTTCTTCTACTTTTTCAACAGTGCAAAAGTATTAGTAAGAGGGGAGCCAAATGTGTCATACATTTGTTCACGCTACTACCGTGCTCCTGAGTTGATATTCGGCGCCACAGATTACACTTGTCAAATAGGTAGGTTGCTTGGTAGGACAGTGAAGACTGAAATATTTAGGAGACAACTACTGTACTGGCACTTGTGATCTTCAAGTTAATCATGAGGGTAAAACAATCTAAGTATTTTTGGGATAGTGTTTATTAATTTTATTTAAAAGTTTTTTGTATTTTTTATACCAAAGTCTTTGATAGATAATTGTTTTCACAGGATTTATAAATGTACTCTTACTCTTTTTTCATCATAATAATATGGCATAAAACTATAACCATAAAAATCATTAATTTTTTCTTTAAAAAATAATTTCTATTTCTGTTGATTTAAAATTGCCAATGAATTGTAAAACTTAAAAAAATATAAGCTGTTATAAAAACTATCAAGGTATGTAGAATGAATTGGACATTTTGAATATTGTAGGTAGGATATAATATGACCTGTACTTTTCCCAGATGTATGGTCAGCTGGCTGTGTCCTAGCTGAGTTGTTGTTAGGCCAACCAATCTTCCCTGGTGACAGTGGTGTGGACCAGCTTGTAGAGATCATCAAAGTCCTTGGTACCCCAACCCGTGAGCAGATCCGAGAGATGAACCCAAATTATTCCGAGTTTAAATTTCCTCAGATTAAAGCACACCCTTGGTCAAAGGTACAACTCTAAATAATCCATAATATATTTAAACAGTTTTCAATTGTATAAATTATGTATGTTTATGTGTTGGCACTTAACTCTTGTTTAGTTATATTATTCTCTCTCCTCTACTTACATACTTGACTTTTTATTAATAGCCTGTATACCAACTTTCAGTATAAAATTTTCAAAATTTTAAAAAAATAATTTTTTTTTTATGAAAGCACATTTTATTACACTTATGATACTTAAGATAATATAGCTGAAATCAGAAAGCTTTCATCAATAACTGAGATCATGGTGTCAGTCCCCTTTTTTTACGATTTTTTGCTAAGGCACTGAATTTCTCTTAAATAAGAGGGGCTTAGATAATGAAATAATATTTTCTCCATAAAAAATTTATAGACAGCATGCATGAACAGGAAAATTTTGTGACTTATAAATAAATTAACTAGTTACTTTACTTGTTTTGTTTTATTTAAGGTGTTTCGGCCCCGTACTCCTCCTGAAGCTATACTTTTAGTTAGCCGTCTGCTGGAGTACACACCATCAGGTCGCATCACACCTCTAGAGGCCTGCTCCCATTCATTTTTTGATGAACTTCGTGATCCAGCTACCCGCCTGCCCAATGGACGAGATCTACCACAGCTGTTCAATTTTACTCAAACTGGTAAAGGCTCAACCACTAAAATTATAAATGCTTTTAACATCCTTTTTTAATTACTTAAAATGAGCTGTGGTTTAACTAAATAAACAATGCTTATATGCTACCAAGGGGTTACTACTTACATCACTACATTTATACGCAGATAAGATGCGTGCTTGGTTGCTGAATGCCAGAGGTTTAAGTACATTTGGCGCATAGATATTAATATATATTGTATGTTGAAAAATTGCTTACACGCTTATGCAAACACGTAACCGTTGCATTTTTTAACCCTAAATTTCTCACATTATTCACGATAATATTTAGTAATTATCTATTTTCTGGTGCAACAATGTTTGCTCAAACAATCAAGTTTTAATTTCACTCCAACTTGGCAGCTTTTCTAAATGACCCTAGTGCTAAAAGTACTTAAGTCACATTTTTGTCAAAATCAATATAAACTGTGACCTTTTCTTATCAGATATAGCTAAGTTCACTGCAGAAATTTGAACACTGTAAAATTTACATAAGTCCTTTAAATAAACAAGACAAAATATGAAAATGATCACATTTGATAGACGAAAAGAATATTTGAACGTGATTATCTCAAAATTAGCATTTTGTGACTTAAGTACTTTTAGCACTAAGGTCTTCTGAGTGTTTGAGTTGTTCAAGGTTTACCTCATCCCCAAAAATAACTGCATTACCTGGTTAATGACTTCTTCTACAGATTATAAACTCTTTGCTGGGTATTTCCTCTTGACCTGTTACCCCTTTGTAGAGAGGCAGACACATTAGCGTTGTACCCATGGGACCGACATTGTTATATTAAATTAAGTGATTGAATACACTTTTCCTGATTATAGCTAGCTGGAAAAGATGGTAGACAAATTCATCCCAACAAGTGTTTGCGAAATACATATGTTTTCAAATCGGTTTTGAAAGAATCAGTTGCCTGGCTGTTTCTGAGAGCGACAGGAAGTGTGTTCCCATTTGTTGGGCCAGCAAATGCGAACGTGCGCCGTAAGTCTCAAGGCGAACGAGTGGTATCGAGAGTTTGCCACTATCGGATGAGCGGAGTTGTCTAATGGGTACATAAGGCGTTATGAGCGCTTTGAGATAGGATGGCGCCAGGTCATTATGCTACCGCAGACTGGCAGCCAATGCAACTCTCTCAGAAGTGTTTTAGCATGGTCAAATTTGTGTTTGCGAAAAACAATGCGAGCCGCATTATTCTGTCTTTTTGAATTTTATCTAGGAGCGTAGCTGGAAGACCCACCATGAGAGCATAACAGTAGTCCATGCGTGATAGCACGAATGCAGACATCAGCCTCTTTGTTGCATCAAATGTTAAGACAGGTCTGATATGACTAATTCTGCGCAGCTCTAGAAAAATCACCTCCAAATCATGTTAATGTGATTTTTCCAATGTGATTGTTTGAGCAAATTCAATCCATATACCTGAGAGAGAAAGGCGTGGTGTGTTATTTACAGATTTTAGCTTTTGAGCGGTAGCAATGGGGATCAGCTTGGTCTTTTCATAGTTCAAATTGAGCTTGTTTATGTTCATCCAGTGCTTAACTGACTCCACTGTCTTCTGTGTCATACTAAGAAGCTGAGGGAACTGAGAGGGGGTCACGGATCGCTGAAGTTGGGTATCATCCGCGATCATGTGATGGAGCATATCAAACTGCTTGTTCACTGCACCCAAGGGCTGAACGTACATAGTGAAAAGCACTGAACCTAGGACAGAGCCCTGGGGTACTCCGAATTCAATAATAAATTGCTTCGAGGTCAAGCCATTTGCGATAACTGATTGGACCCGATTTGTGAGATACTAGCGGAATCATCTCAGGACGGTATTGGTGAAACCGAAAGTTTTTTTGCAGACATTGTAGAAGTATGCCGTGGTCAAGCATATCGAATAAGGGGTCGCAAAGGTTTATTATTTAAATCCAAACTGGGGGCTTGGAATTTTTTATGAGGCCTATTAGTTTTCAAGGGCTTAGCATTTAAAAAATGTAGGCCGTTTCCTGCATTATTTTCAGTTTTGTCTGCACTGATTATTTATATGGTGACATGAGCTCTTTATAATATTAATGAATAATTCATCCTGAAATGGAATTGCACCCTTAAAAATGTTGCACACAAAGGCAAACACTAAAATAGATGGAGGATATTAAGCTTTGTATTTGTTGTTTATTTATTTCATGGGTAGTTCATTTAGTTATTTATGCTTACAAATTAGTTCAAATTAAATTATATTCCAAAAATAACCATACCAATTCAATAAGGACTAAATATCCCTTTTTTTCGATTTGAAATAATTAAAGTCTCCTTTTCATTCAAACATATTTCTAAAAATACTCTATATCAGTGCTGTCCAGTATCTTAAAAGCTTGATTTTTATGATAGTTATGACAATTTATGGAGTATTAGGGTAGAATGCAGAAGTTGAGTAGTAAAATATTACTCACTCTGTAAAGGACAAAGGCAATATCAACATACATAATATAAAAACAAATTCTTTTCAAACCATAAGATATGTTGTCCAAAGTATTTTCAGAAAATGTATACTTGTAAGGCTATCTGAATTCATTTAGTATGGTATTTTGTCATTATTGATAAGCATAAGAAAATGCTGAAAATGGCTTGGAACTACCGCAAAATGCACTTGGCAGTTGTAGGGTTAGTTAATATTGGAAAAAACTGACAAAATTTTTTTTTTTATGCGGCCCTCTGTTTTGCAAAAGAAAACAAGTTAGCTCACAAAGTCAAAAAGGTTGGACAGCACTGTTCTATATAAGTAGTGAAAAATTAAACCATAGTAGAGTGAGACTTATCTTTATTATTAATTTAGATTTACGTTATATGTTACTGTCCATTCACCTGTCCTAGCATTTATTCTAGATGAAAAGCCCATGTGTCTTGAGAAAATCATATGTTTGCAATACTCCAACCAAACATTGTTGAAAGAGTTGACCTTTCCCATTTTCAGAACTAGCGATTGCTCCAGCTCTTAACAACACCCTGGTACCATCCCATGTCAGAGGTTCGGCTGCAGAAGGTGCTGGTTCCAGCGGAGGGATGAACAACTCATCAGGCCCAAACAACAACAATGCCCTGGATAGTAACAATGGAGCCCCCGGCGGATCCACAAGTGGGGATACTGCATGAGGAAGGCTAAATTAATAACATATTTTTGTCCTTTTAGACGAAGTAATTTATCATATAAACAAACAAAAATACAACAATTGAAACAGGTTAATTTTTTAAAAAACTCCTCTTAACACTCTACAGTTGCAGGAGCCATTTAAACGACAATCTTTTGACTGAAGACCTGTTAGACACTTTATGACTTGATGCTTGTATGTGCAGGTAGATGCTGGATTCGTGTTAGGCTCTCGTGTACTGGGAATGATCAAGTGATTTGTCTTTGTTGCCATGGTGATCATGATGGATCATTGTTTTTTCTGTTTTGTGTGTGGATCTCATTGGTTAGATGTGAAGTCATCATGTTCACAGTTGGACTCAGGTTGTTGTGTCACAAAGTTAGCTGGAGGCAACATAGTTTAGTTGGCATCACATTCTTCATCATCATTTTGGAATGTTGTTCATAAATACAGAGTAAGTCAAGTTTATCAAACCTTTAATAAAGGCTCAAGTTTTTGTGGGTATTTTAAATTTGTTTTAATAATGATCGTAATTTAATTGTTCACATGTGTACAATTGTTATTTTAAATAATACTTACTTCTGTTGTTTTTTTGTTTTTTTAAGACACCAAAAAAGAATATGACAATCTTCATTAGTTGAATTATTTTTTAAAATGCAAAGAAATATGATGAACTCCAGAAGCTAGTCTGTACCATATCTGTGAAGTATGTAAAAATAATTTTATTACACAATTGATTTAGCCATATTAAGACCAGGAAAAACACTCAACATCATTTCATCTCTGGATATATGGCCAACTGGTTCCGTCATAAGTGTCATTGTGTGATTTTGTTTCGATAAAATGCCCATGCGTTTTTTCTTTAAAATTTTAGAAATTGATTTTTTTAAAATTTCGATAACTCAGCGACCAATATAATTTTTTTCTCCTATAATTTATTTGATTGCTTGCTGATGTAAAAACATTCTGTCTTCTGGTTATTTAGAAGTCCTTGCATACCTGGAAGCTTAAAAGGCTGTGTGAATGATAGAATATTTTTGTCGTAATCTTCAGTGCTTCTAAATTGATGGAGTTCACAGTAGAATTTTGTAATGGACATTTTTCCTCTCCCGTTGATGGGCTTGATTAATGAAATACTATCCAAATTTCTCTCATTATTCAAAGGTGAAAGATTATTTGACTTTTTTATTAGATTATTAAATTATTCATTCATTTAATTTTCATGTCCTAGAGGACTAAAGTAGGTTACATATTTTAAATAATAGTGAACATTAAGGATTTTATTGTTGATGCTTTCAATTTCAAGAAAAAAATTAAGTTGATTTGATTTATTTTTTCAAAGAAAAAGTGTTCACTATTCTAAAAAACAATTAAGTTTTGCCCATTAGTATTTATTATTTTAAATTTCACTAAATTACTTTTGTCAGTTTCTGAAAGTAAACTGCCCATTATTTTTAATTCCGCATAAGAATGAAGTTTCAGGATATCATTGTTAAACAATAGCAATTCAAGTAGAGTTTGTGAATTTCATCTCTCTGTAACATAAATATATATTTTATGGAGTGAAAAATACATTTTACTCAATGTCAATATGAATTGTCTTCTCTTTTTTTTTAACTAAAAAGAAAACAAACATGTGCATCACATCATGCACTGTTTTTGCTGTTGCTAGTCGTTCCATGTGAATAAATTAACTTGCCAAAAGGGTTGTTGTTTCTTCCAAAATTAGTAGCACATACCTTATGTTGCTAAAGTTACTATTACCTCTGACTTTTGTAAAAATATAATTTTCTTATGTTTATTTGAGAGAAGCAAAATTTTCACAAGAAATGACAGAATCATGAAACTCAATATTTTAAAACTAAGTCATTGGCAAAAAATATTTTAATTTACACCAATCATTAAAGTAAAATTGGTTAAGGATAGATTATTATAGTGTAATACGATTCATCTAGTTGCAAGGTTCCTTAAATTTTTAAAGTAGCAGATGTGGGGGACTTGGGGTGATCTCAAATAATTGTTAAAATCCCATCACTTCTCAAAATGTACTAAAATTTGCTTGTGACCAATTAATCCAGTATAACAAGACATGTTCTTGTAGGAGCCTTTGCCCACCAGTTAAACGCTATAGTATCAAACAATGATATAAGACAAATAATTCATCATGTTAAGCCACCAAGTGATTGTATCCCATTTAAAGTTCTATTTTTGACTATTAAATGTGGCAATACAACTGAAAACAATGCTTTTATTTCTTTAAAACACATATTAAAGTAGGTAGGACTGCCCTGTTACAGACAATATGTAAGACACTTAACATAATCTGTCTAGTACTGGGTTCTCGTTTTTTCTATTTTATCAGAGATAGCATTATATAATTGGAAGAAAAGAAAAACTCACTCCCTATTTAATCAACAGTTAAATAATGCTTTTTTTTTTTTTTTAAATACCGACTCTGTTTTGAAAAATCGTTATAATTGAGACATCCTTATAATCTGTCTAGTACTGGGTTCTCGTTTTTTCTATTTTATCAGAGATAGAATTATATAATTGGAAGAAAAGAAAAACTCACTCCCTATTTAATCAACAGTTAAATAATGCTTTTTTTTTTTTTTTAAATACCGACTCTGTTTTGAAAAATCTTTATAATTGAGACATCCTCTCTAGAGATTTACAGCGTTGATATTTTCAATATTTTTTCTGAAAGCAATAGTAACAACACCAAGTCTTGAGGCTGTTAAAAATAAACACTTTTCATTTTAAAACTAAAAGTGTTATTACTTAACTAAAAGAAACAGTATCTCCTTAAAGTTCTAAGAACATTCATTTTGTTCACTCCCTCTATGTAGTGTGACTTCCACCAGGTTCTCTTAAATGTTTCCTCAATCTTACAATTGTTAGGTTTGTCAACTTTAAAATTTGCTAAGCTTTGAATGTAACAGTCAAATTTAAATTTGTTGTGATATCAGTATGCCCATCATGTATGTCACTGAGGCTGATTATAAATCTAAACTGAACTTAAAATTAGGTTCTTTAGGTTTTGGCTTTCGTTCAGTAATGTGGATCTTGTTCCATGCTTCTGGCCAATGAAAATCAATGTCAAACCATAAAGGAGTCGAGGCATTTGTTTAAAAACAAAACTAACATTTTACATAGTTGCACTTCTATTTATGCACACATATTTCAATAGCCGTTTATATTTATGATGCCTCTTGTTCTTGTGTGTAGCAAAATAATAGATAATTGTCTTTTTTCTCTTCTGGTGTAAAAACAACCAAAAAAAACTATTGTGAATAACCCCTATTTATTTCTATTTATCTGCCTGTTTTTATTGCAGTGGCATGGATTTGAAAGAGCTCTTTGTAGTGTCTGGTCCAGCCTTCTAATTTATCACATTATCTAAACATTACCAATACAGTCAAAGCAGTATTCTATAAATATTATATATATTGTAAAACTATTTTTAGAGTCTAAAACATTACTTTCATTTTCTAGGAGCGCCGTCTGTAAACACAGTCCTTTAAAGCAACATCTTTACAACACATCACTGTTAATGGTATTGAGATTTTTAAACAAGTTGTTTATTTTCAACATCCAGACCCCTGCTTCAAGTATTCTCACATTACATTAATTGGCCTCACAAAGTGGGTTTAATATTGTGCACTGAAGCGACTAATTTCTTGAGCTCTCATATTTATGATTACTTCAATCCTGTCTTACAAATGCTAAGGCGTTCTTGTGTATAGTGTGTATGAAACCACTGATTGTCAACTGATCAAGGAAAGTTTTTGAACTTGTTGCTTTTTTCCTCTGTTCAATTTTGCCTCTTGCTTCCACTTAAATTCTGATCTGAACAAATGTCCGAGTTTATCAACTGAACCAGTTAAATTTTGGTATTGTATAAACTTGTCAACTTCTTATTTGGAATGGTTGCATTGTGAAAAAAAAAAATTAAAAATCTTACATCCGGCCATTGGGCATCCAGAAATATTGACTGGAGGTTGGGGGATCACCATAATGATTGATACAAATGTTTCATGAAGTCATATTTTATAACCTTATATGATGGAAGATAAATGACAGGACAAGTGCCCCTCACTTTGCATGGACCAAGTGTCAAATTTAGAGACATAGCTCCCAAAGTTAAACTTGCCCTGACAAAACTCAAAGAAATTAAATCCTACTGGGCAATGATGAAATGAAGATCATACAATACAATTTTTTTTTTAGCATTTCATTTGGAATCAATTTTATTCATTGTCGTGTTTTGGTTATTTTATAATTTTAATGGAAGCTGATATTTTGTATCCAACTATTTCAGCTCAGAGATGTAACCATTTTTTTTTTAAAAGAATGGTATTGTATTTATAGTTTTTACATGTCAGGGTCCATTTGTTGAAGGCTCCTCCTTGTAATACAAGTTGTATCCATGATTATTTTAAAATAAAATTAAGTGCTCTACATTTGACAGTTTGTATTGCATCTTTAAAAAATTTCACAGGGATTGGTCTTTAAATTTTTAAAAAACATCTCAATTTAATCCCACCCGCAGAAGGTTCATTCTGGGATTTACATGAAAACAAAGCATTTATGGTTGAAATAAGATGTCCTTGCTTTGAAGTTATGTGTTACGACATGCACTAGTAAATTTGTGTTTGCATCACTTTTCCTCCTTATTTATAGAGTAGTGAACTAGAATACAGTTTGATTCACTTTGACATGGGTTGGACATCCTCATTGAACAGGGAAAAAAACGAAAATTATTGAATTAAAGCAGGGAAATCTAGTTAACCTAAATCAATGCTGCTAAGTTTTAATGTTGACTTTAAAGGCTTTGCCCGAGATTGGCTTTTTGTCAGCAAAAAGTGATGGCTTTAGCTAATGCACATTATCATCTGCCTTTTAAGAGTCCATGCACTCAAACCGAATTCCGTATTAGCTGTGAAATTTCAGGTTGCCTGAACTAGATTTACACAGTCTAAGGCAAAAACTGCCAGAGCACACGTTAAGGGAGAATGGCAGTTGGCAGTTTTGTTGTTACCAGATGAAAAGTATTGTTTGACACGTGTGTTGATTTGTAAAGGCAGTTTGATGGCTTGCTATGAAGATTGATGCATCCAATAAGGTGTACATCTTATGTATATTTGTAGATATGCTTGTCATCAACTCTTGTTTTTATCCTTGAATGTGCTGTAAGATTGCATGGGTCCTACATTCATTCTCTGTGTATCATTTAATGTCATGGGGAATAACACATGATTATCATATTATAAGAAATCAGTTTAAAAAAAACAAAAACTTTTGTGTTTGTTTCTGATTATTTGTATACATATAACTAATCCACATGAATTTATCCTATGAGAGCAGGAAGGATAGACTCTTGCTAGCAAAAAATACTGTACATCTACAGGCTTTTTTCCGGATTGAACTTTTACTTTATCGTAGCCATCATCATTTATTTAATCCTTCTTTGTAGATTAATATCTTTAAAATATAGCGCAAATTCATCCATTCACAATTATGATTACATCCTACTTAACTTCCTGGTAGGTGGAAAAAAAAATCATAGTGTGATGAAAACTTTTTAAAAAGATTAGTTCTTAAATTTTGAAGGAGTTCTTCTATTATAATTATTATTTTCAGGACTTTTAAAAAAAAAAAAAAAAATGTCATGCAATGTTTCAACTGCTAATTTAGACTTTGATATGGAACACTTAATGGATAACTCTGCATATAGCCTTTGATTTGCTTAGATATATGAAGTACAATCTATAAAAAACTTAATGATAGTATTATATTTTTTTCTGGCAAGAGAACATGATATATATACATATATATAATGTGTTTATTTGCTTTTAGGAGATTATTGGTAAGGTGTGAGAGTTGAACAATTTAGTTACATAGCAGAAAAATATTTTTTTGATCAGTAAAATGAAAACATCAGAATAACACTATTTTAATTTATTTCAATATAATTTTTTAAAAAGATATAAATAAGGATAGAGTTGTCTAGCTACCGTAGCAAAAATCATTGATTACATTACATGTAATTTTGATGTAATTGTGTGTATTTTCATACAATTGGCAGTGGTTTGAAAATGCAGGTCAAGTGCATCCATGCTAGCTGACTTAGTGACATGTAAACCAAATCCATCATTATATAATAACTACTAAATTCATCACCACATCTTGCATACCGGTACCTCAAAATTAAAGAGACCACTGCTATTTCACATACACAATTTTGGAGCAATTTAAAAAAAAAAAAATAGTAATAATTTATTTTTGTATTGTCATCTGACAAGTATTCATTATTTTAAAATTTACGGGCATCAATGTTGTTGTTTAGGTATCAGAATATATAAAGTAAAAGTGTACAAAATTTAAGCTAAAAAAAAAATGGAAAAGCTATCAGATTCACTACCTTTTCAAGGGGAGGAAAGATTTATTTCTGCCTGGTTGGGTTGAGAGTCTGCCCTTGAATGGTGCCAGGATTATGTAGGCATACATAGCTTGTACTTCCAGGACTGATAGTTTGTACTACCTAGAGTGATAGTTGTTCATTTAATGTTCTTCATTTTTTTTTTAGTATTGTTATGATCATTTTCAAACAGGTTTTTAAAAAATTATAACTGTAATGAGCTAATTAGCCATGCATGACTTTATTCTGTGTGAACTTGTCCTTATTCAAGGCTGTGTTATGTGTGGTAGGACTTAACTTATGTTTTGTGTAGTACAATCCGCCTTCTGATTTGTGTGATTGGACACAACTACTGTATGATGATGTGTTGCTGCTTGGGGGTTGATGGTCGAGACATTTAAATGCAATTGTGAGGAAGGCGCAGAAGATATTTTTGCTTCAAGAATAAAGGTTTCCCTGTTGTGTCACTGGATGTTCATAATTGTGCAGTCTGGTGAATGATTTCTGAACTAATGCAAGAAAACAATATCATCAGGTGTTTGGTGGGGGGGGGGGGGGGGTTGTTTTTTTAAAGTGTTAAATATTTCTTGCATGACATGATAGTATTTTATAACCTTGTGATTAGTTGGATTAGTGAAGATTTTTAAAAGCTTTGATGAGATATCTAAAACAATTCACTGAGCTGGGGAGTTAGCTATATTTTGGTGTTATCCTACAGTTTGACCTTGAATGAATGGAGTGAAGTACTGTGTTAGGACCTTGAGGTGCTTGTTATGCCTTGAACCAAAAGAGTCGTCTTTTATCAATAGTATTGTGTGAATTTCAGTTTGATGTCAGTCACATGTAGAGTAGATTACTCATTACTTACCATCAGACTGGCTTATGCTCTTCGATGTCTAGATTTTGTTCATTGAACAGTTTTAAGTCTTGAGTCAATGTGTTTGATGATGAGACAGATTTTATATAATATACATAAATGTGATTGTTGATGTTTTGTTTGTGGTGAAATGTCTCAAGTCCATCAAATTACAGCCTCTGATTTGCTAGTTTCTTTTTTTTTTTTTTTTTTTTTTTCTCTATTAATATTAATGTTTCA